TACAGAAGTGGATTTGCAGTGTGGTTGCTGGTCATCACCAGACTGCACATACAGATCCTGTCCCTCTGTCCAACTGCCTCCAAGTGAGTGACTGCACCTGTGTGCAGCACTCTGGTGGCTTCACTGCTGGCTGAGTGCTTAGTAAGATCCATGGGTAGGAAGGGTGTTGAAATATGAAAAATAAATATGGATGGGCTTTGCATAAAAATGGGAGAGGAAAGCTAGTCCTCAAATGTGATTTATTAGCTTTGACTGTGCCAACTTAATCAACAAAGCTGAAGTTTAAAGTTCTCATGAAGAAATCCTGGCCATAGTAAAGTCAGTGGAGATACTGTTGGAGCATTTCATAAAACAAACCCCCTTTTACCGGTTTTATAATCTCACTAAATTCTTCCTGCTGTTCCCAGGTCAGCAGAATCCAAACTGTAAAACAGATCCGGCTTGGCATAACTCCCATATTGTACCAGGTGTTTCTCTTGAATAGGAACAAAAGGTGCTGATTTTTATCTAAGGGTTTCTCTAAAAGACTCGGGGCATGCTGAACGCTCTGCCCCCATGGGCTTTCCAGGACACTTCTGCCAGAAGAGACCCACCGCAAACCTTCAGGCAGTGCCCTGCTGCACTGTGGTGTTGCCAGCTAGAAGACTGTCATGTCATTTCTCAAAAAAGGAGGGCAGAGAAAATTGCAGCACCTTTCTGTGGTCAGCCATGCTTGCATGGAGTAATGATTAAAATCTTTTCCAGAAGCCTGTTAGCATAAATTCCAGATAGAATCAATACATCAAAGAGAAAGAGCAAACTTCAAACATTTAAGCTGGACTAAAACAAATGTACAAAACACAAAGCAAAAGGAAATGTAAAAAAAAAATCAACTAGCTTTACCGTTACAACAATAAACAGCTTTTTAATTGTTTGTGTGGTTGTTTAAATAATTACTGCTGCCACAACAAAACAAATTCTTACCTCTAATCCACAAACCCAACAGAGAGTCAAGAAAACTGGGACCACTCGCATGATGAAAGCTTCCCTTTCTTGGCAGGCAAATTCCTCTGGCTGGGATTCTTTTGAATGTCAGTTGTTAGATTTGTGTTTAATTTTTAACCCTTAGTAAAGTATTTTTAAGTGTGTTTGGAAATAAAGTACAGGAGCCTCAACTACTAACTGAAAAGTCTGACCTCTCCAAAAGGATCCCGCCCCAACGTACCTGGTTTTATTCTGAGCACGAGGTAACAAAAAGCCCTTCAAGTAAATGACTAAAAGGAAGCACTTATTAAGGACACACGTCCTTTCTTTTGCTAGGAGACTGATCAAACCATCAAGCTGTAGTAGTTCATCTTTGCCAGACTGTTGCAAAAGACAAATGTGTTTTTCTGTAAGGGATATATGTCTTCATATGTACATATATATATAAACATCCCTGTCCTCGTAGCATCCATTACATACTCGGCTGGATCACAGGCTCGTATTACACTATTTGTACAGAGACTTTCCCAGTATTTGACAAACGCTTGTCGCAGTCTCCTGAGGGCTGGTTTCCCTCACCGCGTTGGCTGGAGCCCGCAGACCCCAGCCTGCCCTCCCCGCTGCTCCCGGGCCCTCCCGCTCCGTTCCCCCGGGGTAGGCC